CCACTTCTAAACATGGCTGCACATTGAAGGAATAATATTGTGAAAGTCCAAGCAGGAATGATGTACTTATTTCCATCTTAATAAGTGACTGGTATAGTTTTATACCGACTGGCTGTCCCTGTCGATTCATGTCAACAAATCAACCCAAATGTAATTTATTTCTCCCCCCCGCAAAAAAAAAACAAAAAAAACATAGACCCTGAAGACTTTCATGATAGTTCCTTTAGTGTGCCTTGAATGTGAGGTGAAAAAAAAAGAGATAAACTAGCACTGTAGTTACTGCGTCTATATGTTAATTGATATTTTAGTATTAAATCGAATTCATTTTAGCGACGATAGAAACGGCTATGAAGTTTCTAAGCTGTGCTCGACAATCGAGATATAATTTTGACATTTGTGATCTTTTCAAAAGAAATTGGTTCGAGGATAAATATCTTCAAATCATCTTGTCTTTGTAAGTTTGGACACTCGTTCATAAAAATCCATATTTTAAACAAACTAATGTTTTTCAATAAAATTCAAATTTTGTAAAGTCATTTTAAGCAAACTAAACTGACTAGAAATTGATCTTGGTTGTAAAACATAAAGGAATGCACGGCTTAGCTTTAATAAATCTTCAGCACATAGTTCAAAAGCTTTTCAGCGTAAGAGCTAAAAGAGGTCGATTCAAAACGTTATTTACACAACTGTCCTGAGACTGTGTGTTTTAGATACACTATAACTCTCAAAGCATTTCGTTTTTCATTCAGTAAATTATCATATACTTAATACAATTTAAATGCAAACATTTTGACAAACAGGAACCATATAAATACTATACGCGTATTGATTTAAAGTAAGGGATAACTTAACTGTTTAAATAAAATTAATTTGATAGTAAAATATATAATATAATGGGGGCGCGATGGTCTTCGCAATGGCTGAGTGGTTAAGCGCTTGGCTTCTGAACATGCGGTCCTGGCTTCGAATCTCGGTGAAGACTGGGATTTTTGAATTCGGGATTTTTAGAGCGCCCCTGAGTCCGCCCAGCTCTAATGGGTGCCTAAATTTAGTTAGGGAAAGTCGTTGTGCTGGCCACATGAAACCCTGCTCGTTAGCCGTTGGCCACAGAAACAACCTTAACATCACCTGCCCCATTGATCGAAAGGTCGGAAAAGGTGAACTTTACTTTGTCCTTTAAAATATATAAGGATTTAACTATATAATATGATAAACCAAGATAATATGTGATACTTCAATATACTTATATACTACGAATTTCCAGGATACCAGGGTATACTTAGTTACTCATCACCAGGTCATGTTTTGTGCACGCTTGAGTTGATTCAATGTTTAGTTCATATCGTTTGATACAATAAATTAACATTTGTATAAATGTTCATGTTTAATGTTCATTGGAGATGGTCTATTTTATGTTGTGGTTATTTCAGGGTGGTATGTTTTATGCTGTTGTTGCTTTGTTATTTTACAACACAATGCTACCAGTAATGCCTATGCAATAAAATGTTGTTTTATAAAGTATCTATTGGTATCTATTTGATATATTTTATGTGTTATCTTGATGTTTTGTTGTAAAGGTTTTGACCTATTAAGCTTGTTTGATGCCTCTTCCGGTGGAGAATCTCAATATAAACAAGGCAATGTCAATGACGTTCAATTGAACGTCGCTGTTACCAAATAAACAAAGAGAACGAGCCGACCCGCGGCGCAGCATACGCCGCTATTTAGTGACAGGTGCACACTTTAGAAAGACACAGTTGTTCAAATGGGGGTGGATGGTTGGACAACGTAGAGAATTATATATACAGAGAAGATTACTTGTTCTCCCCCCCCCCCCCCCCCCCCATCTTTTTTTTTGTTTTTTTGAGCCGCGCTCTCTGTCGCCGCGAAAATTACGTGGGGTGACTCTAGTCCGACTTGCAGAAATAAAAGTGTTATGATTTGTATGACTTTTTCATCGAGGGTTAGACGAGGGTTAGAGAGTCCCGCATGGTTTGGCGACGTAGAGAATGTTATATATATATATACAGATTGAGCTATTGATTTAACAATATTTCAATGCGTGGCTGTTTTCTTAGCTGTCATTAAGGAAGACAAAATATAGTTCAAAAACGTCGAGGTTTAAAGGTTAAGCGGCCAAGGCTAGATACTATGTTGCCAACGAAATAAAAAGATATGATTTAACAATATATATAAATTATTTTGTACTACAAAAAGAAGAGATTAGGAAATTTGATTCTGCAGAGCTAAAAGGTGAAAAACAAATTATACTTTAAAAAAAAATCCTATGTACGCTTTCTTTATTTTGTACACCGGATATACCAAAAATCTATTTATAGTTTTTTCGCCTTATGAAAATCTTCAATAAATATGTTAAATGTAGCCATACTAAAAGCATCAACAAAAAAAAAAGATAGATGATGTAATATTGAACACTTGAAAACAGGTTGGCTAAAATATAAGCAATAAAAATAATTTTATTTTGCTCTGGGTGATTCACATTTAGTGAAATTAATGTCTATATAAACTAAACTAGTTTCTCATTACTAAGTATCCGTGGGTTCTTCTGTCACTAATAAAATAATTAACAGTACACTTTCATATCGAGATTCAATCAATATATCTTCGCTGTCCACTGCTCATGCGCATGGTTACACACTTCCGGTCATTTTTTTTTCATACATTCCCACTGACATATACAAGAATAATTGGATTATACAAACATTCTTGTTGTTTTGTTTATTGACCTTTGTTCCAAATGATTCTCCATCTGCCAACAGCTTCGTGATAACATCTTTTTTTTACTTTTAAAGTATGCCTTTTGTTAAATCTGAGAAATCATACATATTTTTATTTTTAGGCAAACAAAAAGTGAAATAAAAAAGGTATTAAACTTTGTCGCTCTTATTTAAAAGCTATGATTAAATATAAAAATATGATTTTAAAAGCATGTCAACGTTTGTAGCCCTGCTTTATCCTAAGGGTTATATATTATTCTGTAAACAAAAAATGTTATCACAAAATAGACGATAAGTCATGGCTAGAATAATGATAGCCTAAAGGCAAGGAGAATTAGATTACACAAGAAACAGTTCACCTTATCAGACTTTCCATGATTAAACGAACAAAAGATGAACAATGAATGTCGGGATACATGTAAAACGTTGTTTATGTGTTGCTTATGAAATGTTTATATGTAAGAGTGTTTGGGCTGTGTGTGTATGTGGATTTGACAGTGTGTATATGTTTAGCTGAAAATTAAGAAAAGAAAAAACATGATTAAAAAGCGTGGAGGTAAAAAGGTTAAACGGTCAAGGCTGGATACTAAGTATGATGAAAGACATGCACCTTATTTCATTAATATCCTGATCTTGTATCTATTTTGCACATTTGTGTACAGGATCGAGTTATTTGTGTACAAGTGCCAGGAGTTTGGTGTCGCTGAGAACAATACATTTCAAACAGACTCCCTGTACGAGAGAACGAACCTTTCCCAGGTCTGTGCAGCCATTCGTGCGTTAGGAATTGAGGTAAGATTTTGTATTTTCCAGGATTCTCAGAGTTTACATCAATTCTCTTTGCTTTGAGTGTGTATGCTAATAGAATTCCATTTGATTGTTAATATTATGTTTCCTCTTTTCAATTGAAATGAGATCAAAAGCTTTGCTGTTATGTTGACATCCCCAGCTTTAACTTTGTTTTAGGAAAGAGAACTATAAATGTGTCATTTCATAGAGTCTTATTAAACATTACGAGTGCTGCTATGGACCTAGGTATTCTAATAATTCTGGCAAGAGCAAGCAAAACATAAAGAAAAAAAAACTTGTTTAAAAGGAGGCTTACTTAAGAGGAAGAACTCCATATTTACAAACCATATATCTCAATACTGCAATATTTATTTCTGTTTTTCGAAATCAATCAAAATTTATTAATTACCAATATTTAATTAACTAATTGTTTTTTTTTTTGTTTTTTTTTATTGATTCATGTTTTGTTAAGAAAAAAAGGAATAATTGTGCAAAGCTTCAACTTGATCAGAAAATAAGAAATTGGAGATATAACATGTTCAAACTTTATACCAGACGTACTCGGTGATCTGATAAACTTTTAGTATAAATAAGTCTACAGCGTTCGTTTAAGAACATTAGCTTTTGAGTTATCGGAAACATTTGACATTATACCTTTTTCTGTGCGTCTGTGTTTTCAGGCGGAGTCCCGCCCCAGCTACACCGGGAAGAGAATGTGGCCGAAAAAGTCTGAGATCAACAGGAGGACATTCACAGAGGAGCAGCTGAGGATGGGGGAGAGCGTCATCAATCTTCAGATGGGGACCAACAAATTCGCCAACCAATCAGGCATGAACTTCGGCAAGAAGCGAATGATCACCAAAGACTAATCATTGATCGAACGCCTAATTATCTCATTCTCAATTACACAATTTACGGAAGGATTACAACACGAATAATTGGTTTACAAATGTGTTTACAAAAAAAACAACTGTATATCTTGATGCAATAAACATGTTTGTTTTCTAATACTAGATGACATTTGCGCGTGTTAATTTTGAAAGCTTAATTCTTATCATCAGAATGGTATAATTAGTTTTAGAATATGTTAGCATCTAATAAGAAAATACCAATGATTTTAAATATGAACAACAGTAAGGACTTTTTTGAACATGAAAATCGACTTCACTAGTGTGACCATATTACATATAAAGAGCATGTATGACCAGTTACAAATAGTGTGAAAATGCTCATCATAGAGAGGAGTGTATTCATGTACAATCAAATTAGGTCAAAGAAGTTCAAATTCAATGTCAACTAGGCCGCCTGAATCTAATTTTTATTTTCCAACCATTTCAGTAAGCATCAATTAATTTTATCAAATATTTTAGATACCAATTTTTGCCAATTTTTTTTTATTTTAAAAATATTTAAATAATATTATTTATTTCAAACTTTCTATTTGTCAATATTGACTGTGTTTTTTTTTAATAATTTTTTTTTTAATTTTTTGTTTCATGTCTTTTATTTGAACTTGCTCTATGGTAAAAGGATTTACACAGTATTTAAAAAAAATAAATAAAATATATTTGTAATAAGCAATAGCTGGATGGAGTCTCACTCTATGGAAATGTTGAAGAAGAAATCCTATGCAATTTGTTTATAATGCCTGGTAATTTATTTTCAATGTATAATGTCTCGATCAAGCTACTCAGCGCTACAATCTACAGTACCTAAGTCTGTCTTTGTGACGCTTGAAGACGTCCTATTGAATAAAGAGTCATTGAGCGTGGAGAAGTCAGTGTCTTTGTTTGTTTGTTTACTATATAAAGCCATTTGGAAAGGAGAAAGGGGGGGGGGAGTTTCATCATTTATTTTAAACACAGTTATCTCCTCTTTGTTTACGTTCTCATTTCCAGCATCCGGTGCTCTTTATACAGTCAGGTTGAAAAATGGGAAGTAATAAGGAGAAATGTGCTGGAGGAAGCCAACACAATGGCAAATGAAAATGTATGAAGAAAGGAGGATTAGAAGATACCTTGAAAAAAAAGATAAACTAAGTAATGTCTAGGACGCATAATTCAATTTTTTAAACTGCCAGCTAAATAAACAAAATTTTAAAAAAATATACAATGTAGAAGTTATTTCCATCATTCAATGTCAAACGAAATAATTAATTACCACACTGGGCAGGTTAATCAAGCTGGAGCTAGTGTCATTGGCCTTGCTTTTCTTCTCTGGCGTTTTTCTACTGCCAGCGTTGTTCTCTTTCCTCAGCAACCTGTGTGCCATTTTTCACAGCGCGACGCCATGATGCTCTGCCATGTGCCTCTTTCTCCCAGGTGGCTTCGGAGAAGCTTTGAGGGTGTCACTGAAGCGTTTTCTTTGACCACCTTGCGAGCGTTTTCCTTCGCTTAGTTGGCCCTACAAGAGTCGTTTACGGATGCGGGGGTCTTCCATTCTGCAGACGCGTCCTGCCCATCCCAGCTGGAACTGCATCAGGATTGTGTGGATGCTTTGCAGACCCGCTCTTCGGAGGACTTCAGTATCTTTGACATGTCATGTGGAAGTGGTTCAGTTTCTTTGCATGTTTTCTGTACACCGTCCACGTTTCTGAGGCATTGAGCAATGTAGGGAGGATGACAGCTCGATTGATCCCTAGCTTTGTATTTGTGGTTAGAACCTCTTTCAATGGCAGCCCCGTCCATTCTTTTATGTTCTCCTCCCATCGCTTTCTCTATCTGCCTCTTCTTCTTTTTCCAGGTACTGTTCCCTGAAGGAAGGTCTTAGCGAGCCCCAAAGATCATATGATATGAATGTGATAGTTGGTAACAGTGAACGTGTCCTTGACATTGTTTTGTTTATCGTTGTCAAGACTCATTTCCTCTCTAATATACGTATGTGTATTACTAAATGTACCCAAGTCCTGGGCAATACCACAACGACACATACAACGACAGAATAAAGATTCAGAATGCCAATTCACAGACATACAACATGTTTATTACATTATCTATACTATAATACAGACTAAGTTCAGACATTTGAAATATCCAGTATCAATTAAAAATATAACAGCTTAATATTCCATAGACTGAATAGTGACAACACAGAAAAATAATTAGAGCCTCCACTTCGACTCTATCTATATCCAAAACCACACTGCCTTATTATGAGTTACATTATATTCAACAAAAACATCTCACCAAGTAAAACAATCCAAAACAATAACAGTTTTTGAAGTCAACAACCTGAGTTGCCCCCCCCCCCCCCTCCTTTCTCCTCTACAGTAAACAGGAGACCCAGGCTGACCAGAACTCAGTCCTGACAATCGTGAAAGCACCCAATATCTTCTGAAATATAGATCTTATCAAAACTTCTTTGTCTGTACCACTGGATAGACCAAAACAGACTCGTTATCGTCCTTATTACATTGGAAAGTGAAGATAACCTTTTACCTAAACAACTTAACCCTAACTATCCTACGAAATGTTATTATTCAAAAGTCAATTTCAAAGAGTGAGAATGATGGGATATATAATAGCAGAAGTCAAACACAAGAAAAAATGTAAAAATATTGAACCAAAAAAAAAAAAAACCAAAGATTATATAAAACGTAGCTGTATCAATTAGTTTGAATCAGATATTTAATTATATTTGTAATACATCTAGACTAACAATAATTAATCTTGTCTGATGAGAATTATTTTTACTATTTTTTTTGTTTAGCGCAATTTCATGCTGTTAGCTTTCTCACTTTACTATGACCTATGACTTATCTGGACCACTTGGAAAGTTGTAGCGGGAGAAAGAAGAGTGTATTTGGGTGATCGCTTTTTAAATGCATTTATATATATTTAAAAAAAAAAAGATCAAGTCATTACACTCACCACTAAACCAGCGAATCGCTTTTGAAAATAGAAGGTTTTATAGTTATCTATCGTTAGCTTCAAACTTTAAGGCGGCGACCTACAAAGTATAAATGAGGCTGATTCAGGTTATACCACCACACCAGTCAAATACGAATTATTTCCTTTGTTCGAGATATCAGACAAAAAAATTAATTACCAATGTTTAATTAACTATTTAGTTAAGTGTTTTTAAAATTGATTCTTGTGTTGTCAGGTAAAAGAAATATTTGTAGAAAATTTCAACTTGATCCAAGATTGGATGCTGGAGAAATAACGTGTACAAATTATTTACCTGACAGACAAAGTGAGTTGATAAAAGCTATGTTAAAAAAATCTCAAAAGTCGACTTTATAAATTTTTTTTTCTATATTGTAAAATCTTCACCTTGAAAAAAATCAGTTTCTGACAAAGGTTTAGCGCATTGGTTCCTAAAGTTATTAGTCACATAGAGACATTCTGTTGTCAGTAGACCACCTTTTAAATTCGTTAGCACGAAATGAGCTTTTTTTTCGCAAATTTAAAAAAAAAAAACTAGCTGGATACAAGTGTTGTATATAGCTTCAAGTTTTTTTCTCATGCTAAGCAGCTAGATCAAGTCCTTAACATAGCCCCCAAAGGAAAATGTCACACACAGTGAGCTTTGGGGACATAGCAGGCCAAGCACAGAGAGCAATGTCTTTAACATCTCTTCTACCAATCCACCAAGTTTGGAGGAATTTTCTTATCGGCTTGGTGTCGGTCTTGCCGCTGGTCACATTGAGCACTTGTAAAGCATGACATTAAAAACTCAAATTATTTACAACACTTGATTTGGCTTCGAAACCGGAGGGTCCCGGGTTCGAATCCAGGTGATGGTTGTCACATTTAGTATGTAAAACATGACATTAAAAACTTCAAGCTCTATTCAACACTTGAGCTAGCTTCGAACCATAGGGTCCCGGGTTCGAATCCTGGTGATGGTTGTCATATTGAGCATGTAAAGCATGAAATTAAAAACTTGAAGTTAAATGCAACGCCTGTTCTGGCTTAGGAACCGGAGGGTCCCGGGCTCGCATCCTGGTGAAGACTGTGATTTTTAATTTCTTTACCGCTCGACTCCTAGGTTCCCACTTACATACATTTAAAGAAAAGGAGCAAGGATTATACTTTGAAGATAAATAATCTTTCACTCATTGTAGAACTGACAAATAGATTCAATACAAAGGCCCAATCACCAATAGTGCCTGTACAAAATAAATTAGTCAATGAAATTTAAAAAAAGCTTTTGACTATGAACTAAAGTTCATATGAAGTCGATACAAATTTAGTTTATAAAATTACAACCATTGTTTTCATTTGCTTTTCAATATTTTTACTTTGATATCTTGTTAGGTTTGCTTGGCATGCTGTACGGCATTGGAGCTAAAGCCAACAGCCAGAGATGGATGAAAATGATGCTCATATGTTTATGGAGACTTTTAAAAATAAATATACGGGTAAAGGAATCTGAGTACATCCAGCTCTAAAGGGTTAAAGACATTAGTTGGGGAAAGGCAAAGGCCCTGGTCGTTGTGCTGGCCACACTACAGCAAAGTTGACAGTGGACACCAAAAAAAAAGATTTTGTTTACACCATCTGCCCTTTAGACCTCAGAGTCTGATAGGGAAACTTTCCTTTAATTTTAAAGTCTTCATAGATCCCCCTCCCCCATTGAAGGTCTTCGTAGACCCCGTGGCTTTATTTAGACCACTTTGGGAATTACTAGAGTGAGTGGTCTAAGCTATGGGCTGTAAAATGGGGGGGGGGGGGGGGAGTGTGGCTAAGTACCAGAAATTAGAGGGGGGCAATGGATCCAATATTCATTCGAGATGGGTCTCAACCTGAGTTGTGTTTGCTGGACATAGGGTACCTAACAGTGGACGGGACACTTTTGTTTATGCTTAAAATGATTTCAATACGTTACTGACTGACTTTCACTACGAAATGTTGACTTGCTCTGTCTTATTAACATCAACTTAGCAGGATAAAGGATCTTGGGTCACATTTGTTAGAGGATGGGTCTTTGTGATCCCTTAGTAAAGCTCTCAAGGATGAATTCCTTCGAAGTTTTACTGCAAAGTTGTATTCCCATGTTGGGAGCTTAATCTAGGTTATAAAGAAATAACGCACTAACACTAAGGGAATAATTATGAAGTTTTATACACTTAAACTGCATTAGGTTCAAAAAAGGTCTAAATAATATTGAATAAAAAACTAGAATTTTGCAGTTCTTTCCAAGAATAGCTGCATTATTAAATACATGTATTATACTAAGTGCGTGCGTACCTTGTGAGATGCATTACTATTTTGCAAGCTCGACACATGAGCATCACGTCATATATATTGAACAGGAACAAAGACTCAAATAACCAAGTTGACTCAAGATGAAACTTTAAATAACTTTTAATACAGAATGGGCCACAGTCTAGTCCGTCACTAATAACGAGGTTTACCCCCTCAAGTAACTGATTAATAAAAGTCTATTCTAATCTCTAACCCAAAGTCTATGTCGTCACTATAAAATGTACGTTCACTGTCGGGCTAACAAAGTGCGCAACTAAACTAACTAAACTAGCTATCTAACGCTATGCACAATTATTCATGTCCCTTAACAAAAAATGAATCAATCGAAAAATTCACCAATTATCTAATCAACTATGCGAAATTAATTAATTTGTTTTATATAAAGACAGTACTTGTTAAGGAGAGATAAGCCACGTGCAGAGAATTAATTTCAACCTAACTATAAAACCTGGTCATGGGCATTTGGCTAATTCAATAGTTAGTGTGTCGTCTTGAGGAAGCTTGAGTCCTCGAGATAGAATTCTAGTCGGCCATTTTGAATGCTGTAATTATCGCTTCACATTG